GAAAACCGCAGCTGAGCTTTGAGGAAGGCGGGGAGGACCCCAGGACCAGAGAAGCAGGGGCCGGGGGCTCCTGTCAGCCTCTTCCCACTGGACCGTTTTTTAGATGAAGAAACAGCCACCCGGAGAAATGAGATAACTTGTCTACGGACACACAGCCTGTAGTGTTTGGCAGTCGTTTCCACTGAACTGAAGAGGGGACTGAAGAATCCGACCTCAGCAGGGCCCGCGAGCGAGACGGTGAGCTGCCTGGAGCCACTGTCACGATGAGTCAGTTCCGCCCGCTCTCGGGCCCTGCATCCTGCCCTCTCCTCAAGATACAAGTGCCCAGGAGAGTTGGGGAGGCCTGGCAGAGGGCCCATGCCCACCCTCGGCTAGGCTGGAGCAGGGCATCTGGGTGACCACCTCGCCAAGTCTACCAGCAGAGGGGAAGGAGTCGTCTGCAGAGATAATCAGGTGCTCCCACCTGAAGACAGTGGGGGGCTGGCACGGCAGGCCTGGTCCATGCACCTGGTCTTCCCCATCTCGGGGATGCCTCCCAGACCAGGCACCCAGGCACCATGCGTTTCTGTTCCTGAAATGTTTCCCATTCTGTCGGTCTTGTCTGGGGCCTTGTAATTTGTGGCGTGCATTGCTGAGAGCCGAGCTTTCAGTCTAGACGCCTCTAAGACTGTGCCTTATTCAGGGGATTCTCTAAAAACAAAAAATATCAGACACATGTCTGCATGATAAGCTCCTCGATGCCCTCATCTCCATGGCACGCCTGGCCACAGACCTCCATGAGCCCTCGCCCCAGAGCACCAGCTGCCTCCTTACCNATGCAAGACTGAAACTCTAACCCAAACCAAAACAAACAGGAAAAGATTTTGTTCTCCGTAGACTTAATCTGTGTCCAGGCTCCTTGCTCTGGCACTCCCACCGCTACTGCTCGTGACGACAGCCAGGCCACCTCGTGTTTCCATGGTGGCCACTGCACGCCAGGCACTGTGCTGCCCCTTCAGGCATTCCTTGCCACCCTGGCTTGCTCTTGCCACTTGCCTGCATGAAATTGACCTCAGAGGTTAGGGAGGTTAATTTCAGGCTGAAAGATGAAGGAAGACATCAGACGGATGGAGGCGCCTTAGGCGCAGTGAAAACCGCAGCTGAGCTTTGAGGAAGGCGGGGAGGACCCCAGGACCAGAGAAGCAGGGGC